CTTCTTACCGAGAGGCCTGCGTATTCTGTCCATGCTGTACGTCTCTCCCAGACGAAGGATTGGTTTGAAAGCACTAAAAGAAGACAAAATATCAACAATGAATATGATATTAGGGAGTATATTGCGATCACAGAAAATCCACCTTCATAGAGGAGCATGCCTTCACATACCAGTCCTTCAGGGGTAAGGTCACAGTGTGATAAGCGGTTAACCGCGTGGCCTTTCTGTGCTCCTCTCTCTGCACCGAGCAGAAATAATTGAGCACGTCAACCAAGCTGAAGGCTGGGGATTCCCCCATGTCGGTAGTCTCAATGTTCAGATGCTGGTTGTGTTTCTAACAGTATAGAAAAGATATGAGGACAAAGAGACGGTTACTCTCAGTAACAGCACTGTAAGAAGCCCAGATAAAAGTAAAAGGGCACCAAAGAGGAGAGGTGATATATGAAAGGTATATGGAGCTTCTCCATTTTCAAACACCTGCTTTGTCTTTTTGTTACCTAAAAAAGATTTTATCTAAAAGATTGTGTACCGGTTATAGTGAGCTGAATACATGTGAAAGGAGGAAAACAAAAGTGTGATCTGTGATATTAACTTTGAATTCGGTGATCCACATCTCCAACCAAAAATCGGCTTTGCCATGGAGGTTGGCCCAGGCGTTAGACGGGTCCTGCAGCTCCGGCTGCCAGCTCTCCAGCTCGGGCTGCAGCCAGTCCTCGGCCTCGTCCACACCTGCTGCCCTCAGCAGACGCAGCGCCGCTTTCCTACCGACAGAGCCACAGCGTAACAAATGGATTTAACCGGTTCCAACGATCCGACATTAAGAGCCTCACCGGAGTTCCAGTTCTTCACAGGCTAGAAGAGCCAGGAGCGTTTTCATGAGTTTGAAACTGATCTTGGATTTCAGATTTTTCAGCAGGTTCAGCATCTGTGTGAGCGCGCCGCATTCCAGAGGAGACTGAAACACACGCGCAACCAATCACAACCTCGCAATCCATTTTTACAGCTGTTCCGGAACATCTGGGTCAGCAGTACCATGTTTGGTTTTGCAAACTTTTGCAGAGAGTTGCTGAGGCCTGTGTACAGCCTGTCCGTGCTGAGGAGCAGCCCCTGCTGGTGCAGCGCGTGGAAAGCGCTCATGATCTCCATCCTGAATCTCACGCAGCAGGTTTGGAGATAGCTCAGAAGCTTTAGGCAGAAGTCATCTGGAGTGAGGCTGTCCGGGATAGCCTACACACACACACACACACACACACACACACACACACACCCAAACAGACACCATCACCGAAACGAAAACCGGGCTAACTGATATTTAGTTGATATTTTGGACTACGTGACCTTTTTATCGGGGTACAATTCGGTGAACCATTCCCTCTCTGCAAACTGTTTGAGGAAGGTTGGGACCTCTGGGGAGGGCTCCCGCGGTAAGGGTGGAGATGGAGGTGGAGGTGGAGTTGGAGCTCTGGGTGGAGGAGGAGCTGGAGTAGGAGTTCTGGGTTTTGGTTGCTCTATTACCTGTACGATCTCTGGTACAGGCTACAGGAACAAGTTAGTATGAAGTTACAGCCGCATCTTTTTTTATTCTCTTTGTTTTTGGATAATCCTCGTACCTCTTCGGTCTTCCTAAACCGAGCAGGCTTCTTGACTATGACGGGTTCTTTTGGGATGACTTTCTCAACAGGTGGTGGCACCTCTGCCACGGGGGTCTTCTGCACCTTTCTTTTCTGCAGTTGTACGGTCAAAACAAAATGTTTCTTTGTGACATACTTAATAACAGCTAATGAATAAAGAGATCTAACCTTTTTCTATTTTATTAAAAATCTAAATTCACTGAAAAAAGTTATTTTTTGAGAACTGAGGAATACTTGAAAAACTGCACACACCCTACTGATAGTTATTACCTTCTTTTTCTCCACGACTTCTGGAATTTCCTTTTTACGTTTGGGTTTGGGTTCTTGTTTTATCTTGGGAAGATGTTGAGGCCTAGAGTATGTTGCTTTTGGATAAATGGTATATTTGGCAGGATCAAACATATCTTCTAATTCAGCCTGTAAAAGAGCAATAGAAAAAAATTGGTCACCATTCTGCAAAGTAGAAATTTTCTGTTTGCAGGTCTCTAAATGTTCTTATGCTTTCCTGTCAGAATCTGTCAAAGGAAACCTAGAAAAAAAATCTGAGAATGATTAGGATGTTTATGTGCCAAATTCTGTACTTTATTGAACATGCTGCAGACCCACAAGTAAGAAACTGTATATGGACCTTATCAAGGGGTTTCAGTCCATATAAAATTGTCATATAGTTCCCAAAGGCTTCTTTTTGAGTTTGTTTGTTACTTGGAGGTTTCCCTTTTTGGCATTTGACACTGCTTTGCAGGAGCGCTTCCATGTCCATGTTGGAGGACAACAAAATCTCCTGGAAAAAAAAAAAAAGATAAAGGCCATGACTTTGGCCTCTGAAATCAACGAACATCTTAAATTCTAAACACTGACATATTCCGTAACCTTAAACAAACCTGCTGTTGCATTCCTCCAATCAATAATCGATTGTTTGTAATTGCTTGTAATATATCCTCCTCAAGTTTAGACATGCTGGAACAGAGGATATTGCAGAGTTTAATTGAATCAGTATTCTGTTTAATTCAATCTGTACATTATATAAATCTTACTTTGTTTGGTTGAATGTTTCTTTAATCACAGCAATTGGCTCATCAGAATGTGGCTCAGAGAAACGGCTGCAGGAGAGCTGTAAATGAACAAAATGAGACTCATAACTGTGTAAACAGTCAGCTTCCATTCAAATAAATGTCAAAGTGACCCCTAATAAGAGAGAGATAATTGTCGTACCATTTCTCTGTAGTTTGTTGGCAGAAACTTTGCACACCTCATCTTGAACAGATCCCCTCCGATTCCCAGGTACAGTTGTCCCCCAGAACAGCTGTAAGCGAGGCACTGGGGCACAGCCTGAAGCTGCAGAGTCCTGGAGGTGTTCCACAGTCTACCATTAGTGTCTGAAATATACCCAACTGGGCTTAAGATGATCAGTCAGGCGACGAATTCCAACCTGATGAGTTGATTCTCCTCATTCCACACCTGCATTGTTCTATCCAGACTGATGGAAACTAACAACTTCATTTCAGGAATTACACACAGCCCTACAGGAAAACATTTAAACACTCACTCAATATGAAGTTCCCAACAGATAATTTGCAATTATACAAATGATACGTCTCTTTGACCTGTTAGGTTGTCTGAATGTCCCTCATTGGGTTGATGAACTGTTTGATTGTGCAGGCTGAAGAACCTCAGCCTGTAAGAGCCACTACTGGGCTCCTGAAAGCTCAAGGCCATCTGGGACCCCAGCGCTGCGAAACAGATCTGAGGTTGGTCGCAGGGCACACTGAGTTGCTGGGTCAGACACTCCTTGATGTGGGGGTAGACTCTCCACAAGACCACCGTCAAGTCCTCACCTTGAGAAATGAGACGAAATCATCCGGTCAGCCCTGACTTAAGGTGACTAGAAAGAGCTGTTTTAAGCGACGCAGTAGTGAGAATTTTTGGACAAGAAGATGATGTACAGACTGAAAAGTTAGCGGAATAAGGCTGAAGGGTAGAAGACAAAGTGAGAAAAAGGCCTTGGATTTTTTTGCTTCGTTGCTCTAAAAAAATCTGGTATGTTATTTATCTGCAAACTGAACTGACAGGTGAAGACCATTTAAACAAAGAGATGAGCTCTCAGGGAAGAAGATCAAAGGTAAAATGAGTCAAGAGAACACCGACCTTGAATGTAAGACAGAAACACAGACGGAAAAAATATTTGAAGGGAGCAGAAAGCAGCTGATGATGTAATTGCATAGGGAAGGTCAAAGGGCAAGTGAGTAATTGTCAAATTAAAAAGCAGAATTTTTGAAGAATTTGAAGGACTCGCCATTCCTTTCCATGAGTGCAAGAAACATCATAAAAGTTAGAAAAATGTAAACGCAAAACATTATATTATAAATGAAGATTTTCAAATACAACTGAGTGTGTGGGATGAAGTGAGTGTCTAAATCATACAAATAAAAACAAGAGTACGAAAGTCCAACTTTCTAAGGTTAGACATGGCTTTACCTGAGGAGAGGAGGCAGTGCTCCTCCGGGTATGCCTGCATTGTTGTGACTCTCTGGCCGCTGTGGGCCGGAATTCTGAACAAAACCGTCCCATTATCTGACTTCAGAACGCTCACGCAGCCTCTACTTTGGCCAATGATAATCAGAAACCTGTTCAGAACAGAAATAATAACAAATCTGAGAAAAAGAGGACCCACAGGCACCGTAACCTTTGAACCAAAAAAAGAAATCCCTCACTTATTCTTGGTGTTGTTGAGCTCAATGTACTTCCTGTGGCTGCTGCCTCTCTCGCCCTGTAAACTTCTCCATTCTTCCAAAGCTCTCTGTGTGTCGGCCACGCTGCTGTACAGCACCAGGCAGGAAGCTGGGCCAGGCACCGGCAGCTTCTTGGCATCTTTCTTGGTCACGTGGTCCGTGGGCTGCCAGGGCCCCTGGCCCACGCCCGTCCATTCTTGCATCAGGGTGATTGGATTGGAGAGTGTGTTGGCTTGCAGCACTGTACCGGCCTCTGTCAAAGCCAGAAGGATCTCTTTTTGAAGTAAGTAATCGGCACATAGAATCTTCTGCTTTGCCTGATAAAAAGTTAACACGGCCCCTGTCTCTTCAGCCAAAAGAGAGATATTTCTGTCCCCGCTGATGCACAGGACTCTTGTGGGGTAAGAAGCGGGCAGCTGTGGGACCACAATTTGTCTCAGTGTGGCCTCTTCTCTCCCGAGCTGACAGTGAAGAGTGTACAAATTTCTGAAAGCCCAGAAGTCTATCCCCTTGTGCGAAACGGTGAGGAAGGTGTCTCCTTTTTTCGTGGCTCTTATGTAAAGCGGAGGTCGTTTTTGTTCTGTCTTAATACAGTCGATTGTGTCACACCCCTCCACGTTCCAGATGCGGATCGTACAATCCGCCGAGGAGGACACCAGGATGTTCAATTCACTGCAGTAGAACAGGGAGGTCACCACGGCTAAACAAAAAGAAACGAGCAGAGAGAAGACGAAAATGAAGCGATTCAGAATTCAGAGACAGAATTAGTTTCACTGCAGGCAAAATCTTACCGGTGTGTCCTAAAAAAACCACATGCAGTTTCCAATCTGAATCCCACACCGTTATAGCCAGGTCCTCTGAAGAAATGATCAAACAGTCCAGCTGAGAGCAGTACACCATCGCGGTTATATTTCTGAAAAAACAAACCAAAACAACCTGTTAATACTCAGTAATGGATTTCAACAAATTGAATGATGCTGGGAGCATCAACTGCAATCAAATAATAAAGCTATAACAAGGTATAATAAAGCCATAAATTCAGGATGTTGGTTTTCATCCACTTGGTTGGTTTCATGACAGATTTTTCCACACACACTTTTTAATTTGGCCTCCATAACATGTAAAAGTGAGAAAACTCCTGACTGTATAACACAGGTTACCAAACAAACCTTGGACAGAGACGCTCCTTACGCTCCAGAACCCTCCCACCGTCGAGGTCGACCACCACGACATTCTGCCCGCTGGCGAAAAAGCCCCTCTGGGGCTTGGCGGGTCGCGGGGCGGCCAGAGCCATGTGGCTGAAGGCGCCGTACTGCCGCAGGCCCTCCCGTACGGTCACCCTGCGCCTCATGAGCATCACCGACCACACGCACACGTTCCCAGCCCCCGCGCTGACCAGCTCTTTGGAGTGTTCCGCCGCCTCGCAGAGCTGGATGTCCAGGGCGCTGTCCGCCGTGTCCAGGGGCCGCAACTGGCTGTCCAGGAGGGTGAAGACGGGCCCGGGGCCCCAGCCGACCAGGCAGCCGGGGATCTCTGTGGCAGTCAAACCGGCGAAAGGCAAGCAGGCCGAGAGGGTCTGCCTGTGGCCGTTGGCTTTGTGGAGGCGCACGGTTTGGTCCGAGTGGAGGCTGATGAATGACCCCGCGGCCTCCCAGAACATGAGGAAGCGCACGGGGCTGTCACAGGGGACGTGCTGCTGGTGCCGGAGCCCATGGTGGGTCAGCAGCTGCTGCCTCCCCTCAGACACAACAACCTGCAAACACAGACAAAAAGGAGGCCCATGTACAACTGGGGGAAGGCGTCTGAAAGCGGCGGTGGTGGATCACGGCCACGCCGGCGTACCTTTTCTGGAGGCTGGCTGTCGTACCGCTGGAGCAACTCCTGATTTTGGGCTGTTTTCTCCTGCGGAGCCGCAGAGTGCTGAGATAGCAGTTTCAAAGTTGCGGTTGGTGTGCTCTTCTCTCCCGCCGCCACCATTTTCAAACA